GTGTAGGCTTGTGCATCTTTGGAATCAAGTTACCAACCTCCGGTAACATTTGTTGTGGTTCAGAAACGGCATCACACTAGACTCTATCCGATTAACTTTGATATATTTTCTTCTGATATTTTTCTTCTTGTTAGATAGGGAAATGAAATAGTTTGTAAGTTTAATTTAGTAGCATTATGTTCCGCTGTTGTTTTGATGCTGAACATTGTCATGTGAATGTTATGTTGATGATGGAGAAAGCAACTGGTATTGTAGTTACAGCTACAAGATCTCCCATGCAGCTTATGATGGGACCTGCCGTTACTGCAACTGGTGATCAGGAGCTGGAAGGTAACACAACTACCTTCCTACGCACTGCCGAGACTTTCTTGCGTCTACTTCCCATTGGCCTTTGCGTTACAGCTCTTGTCCTAATGCTTAAAAACTCCGAAGAAAATGATAACGGCTGTCTCCTACACTGACCTTGGAGCTTTCAGGTATATAAATATTCTACTGAAAACATTTTACATGTGAGTATTTCGGTAACAAAATCGCGGGGTGCAGGTTTTTGAGCACGGGAGCTTCGTCGATGGAGGTGGTGTTCCTGGCTGAGAATGGAGACAGTGCAACAGTATGGAGTTCAGCTTGTGGTTGGTTGTGTTTTTAGGTGGTATCTTCAACTCTACAGAATTGTGGTACATCTGCTAGTTTTAAGATCATCAAAGGAAAGGTGTCTGCACAAATTGGTGACATAATTCAGAATCGGAGATGCTTTTTAGATATGTTTACAGACTCCTAAATTGAATGTTTCAAGTCAAAATGTGGTTGGGATCCTTGCTACTTTAGTGGATTGAATTATGTTTATACTCATGAGATTTAATTTATTATACATAGATATAGATGAATTATGTTACTAACTATTTTAATAATTTGGCATATAGCTTGTTTAATCTTATCTTGTCGGAGAAACCATGGATATGTAATCATTAATTTTCATATAAAGAAACCATAATTATTTACTCAGGTTAATGTTGGCTTTTATTGAATCATACTGCCCTTTTTATAAATCATATGTAATCATTAATTTTCATATAAAGAAACCATAATTATTTACTCAGGTTAATGGTGGCTTTTATTGAATCATACTGCCCTTTTATAAATCAGATTGTCTGGTTAATATGTAGGTTTTCTGCATATATTCAGATACGGAAAAAGCATTGATTTTAAAAAAATAACACTTCTTAGGTCGGTTAACACCATACCCAATTTAATAACCGACTTAACAAGACTTTGTTAAGTACACTTCTTAGGTCGGTTAACACCATACCCAATTTAACAACTGACTTAACAAGTTCATAATTTGACTTAACAAGTCAAAACTTGTTATGTCGCCTTTTCTTAAGTCAGGTAAAGAACCGACTTAAAAAGTCTTTTTTACCCGACTTAATAAGTGTTCTTTTGATTTAAAATCATTTGGTAAAAATCCTCACAACGGTTCTTGACCTCAGCCGATTAAATTCTCTATCGGTTTGAGATTAACCTAGTTAGTATCTCTCTTAGCTTCTAAATTCATCCTGGTGTGAAAGTTCAGTAGGTTCGAAATCAATCGAATGAAAATCTCAATTTAATTCGTGGACAACCTATATAAAATCTCGGTACAATTCGTAAGATAGTCGTCTCAAAACTCCATCTTAATCAAGTTTAATTCGTGGACAATCTATATAAAATCTCGGTACAATTCGTAAGATAGTCGTCTCAAAACTCCATCTTAATCAAGATTAACCCGTAAAAAATCTCTTTAACCTTATTGGTTTAATTGGGTCCTTATATCTAATACAGATAAATTTTATTGTTGAAAATAATTTAGAACCAGAATATAGGATGACATCTTAAGAATATAGGATGACATCTTAAATATTTCGGATTTATAATTAAATATGATATCAATAGTTCAAGGTGAGATGTGTTGAATGAAAATTGACAACTTTGTCTCCACATATATTCAAGTACATAAAAAAGAAATTTTGAGTCAATAGTAATTTCAATTAATTTGATTATGTTTAATTTTGTCATGTCTCCGAAATTGGATTCTATTAATCTCAACATAAATGGTGGCTTTTCAACTTCTGTTATCCATAGCTCTACAAAAAATCAATATACAAGAAAAACTTAGAATTGAATAAACTGTCTAAGTGTTGGAATACATAGTTTATAGCAAATTATGACTATAGTAATAGGATCTAGCCACACACACAGGCTACATTACAAGATCAATCTAACCTAAAATTATCATTATATCAAAAGATTAATCTGAGTTTAAAAGGAGTATGTAATAAACAAGTCTATACCTGCAGAAATCTCCAAAGAGAGTCGGGCCATACAGGATCTGCAGCCTGAACAGAAGCAATTGTTCTCATAAACCAACTTATCCTTGACGAGTCTTCGGTTTCAATGGCCATCTTGAACCTCATTCCACAACACCACCGAATCTGAAGTGCTGTTCTTAGTAAAGAAGTTTTCACAAAAAACTGGGGAGTACCAACCCGAGGATAGTAAACCACATCAAACGGCTGCATATTGACACCAAGTTTTACTGCTTCAATAACATCTTAAGCCTTCATTTTCTCAATTCTCATCACCTTATCACTTATTCTTAATTCATTTCCTTTATCTTTCTTTCCTGAAGAAGAGGTAAGTCTGAAGTATGGCGGCACAGGACGAATTCCAGTTTCACTACCAGGTTTCCTCTTTGATGGAAAGTTAAATCTACAGTCTTTTTCGTTTTTTAGACCTTCTAATTCCAATATGAAGATCATTGTTTTCAGCTTTGATAAAATCAAGTGAATCCCCCGAAACAAGTAGCTTGTCGGTTGCAAAACAGATGTCCTTCGGCATGCTTGTATAAACCTGTCTGGATTTCAACATTTCGCCGCCATGCACATCTTTGGGAAAAATGTCCTGAGAAGCAGGGATAACTGAATAGCCTAATGGAAGAAAAAGTGTTTCTGTACATTTCCTAGAACAAGAGAATCCACCACCATTGTGTGCATCAGATTGTGTCAATGTTTTCGTATAATATTGATATTTATTCTTAGTCTCCGACATATCATCGATGCCACCAACAGCGTCATCATTAAAACTAACTTCGCTATTATTCAGAGGGAAAAGCCTGAGTTTTGCATACACATCATCAGTCCCAGGATCAGCCCTATAATTGATAGCTGCAACTTTACATGGGATTTGGGATGGAATTTTGGAGTCAGCAGTAAAATGTACAGGTTGATATGCATGCTCGGCATAACCTTGAGGGATCCACATCTTTGTCATAGCTGAGGATCCACATCTTTGTTCCCCTCTGTCGTCTTCTTCTTTGACTATCCATTGCAATCTTTTTCTTTTCCTCTCCTAGATCTTGCCATTTTAAAATTGAGTTCGGCATAAAAAGGGGATTTGAAAAAGAAATCAAATGGTTTACACATAAAAAAATCAAATAGTTTAAGCTTTTTGTTTTTATTTGTGAATTTTGAAAAGTTAGTATTCAAATATATACTCAGTTGCACACACCAAATTCATTAAAAAAAGAAGCTTATGATGTGAATTAGACAAATACAAATTGCACTAGTTTTGTTCATTCAATTAGACAGAAATTACAGAAAGAGTGATTATACATAAATACAACACAGTATACTTTTTTTGTTGAATCAATACTCCCATTTCACAGTTGATTAACATATATCAAAGAATAAAAGAAAAATATAATTGAAAGAATATGTGCAATCTATAGGAGGGAGATGTGAAGAGGAGTTAAGCCATCGTGTAAAATTGTTTCTGAGATAGTGAGAGCTTCTGTACTTTGAAAGAGTTAGAAGAGTAAAAGAATAGGACGAGTTAAAACTAACTGCATTGAAACGGTTATAACAACAAAATAATGGAAGTTACTTTTCTGTGAGAAAGGTGATCTGCACATAACAGTTGTAGTTGTAACCATAGTTAGAGTCAGTTAAATAAATTTAGGAAACACACTGTTACCAGTTTCAGAGCAAACCTATTTGCAAATTGGACACAAATTGAATAATAATTAAAAGTAACAAAAATGCATTAGACTTTTCTTTCAAAATGATCAACTGAATAATAATCTTTTTTCACAGAATTCAGTCTTTGCATTATTATTCTTCATCACATTTCGCCAACAACCGCAACTTCTCTATTATACACTGCAGTTCACCATGAATTCACTCCGAAAGCTCGGCTAGGTTGGACAACATTTAGCCTTTTATATTTGTTTCCATCACAGATCGGTTTCGTATGTCAATGCATGCCGTAGGACTAACCTTTCCACTTTATGTCTGAACCAGTTCCAAAACATAATTTCGATGTTCTTGGTGATACTTAGTGCGTCAAACTTATCATTTCTGATCTTCCTACATTTTACCCCTTTGAACTTTTCACAAAACTGGTTAAAATGATCTCTAACATCGTTGCTAACTATGTGGTCAATGTTCAACCAATTATAGATTTGATCCCATATGTTCATTACTTCATTACACTCCAGAAGCATGTGGCAATCTGATTCAGCAGCATGTTTGCAGAAAACACATTCTACATTGCTTTGCCCCAACGTTACCCCTTTAGCTCGTAAATAATTCTAAACACGATAATAAGGTAGTGTTTAAGGTGTAAGTTCAATTTAGTCCTTATTGTAGTTGTTCAAAAATTATATGAGAAGAAATAGATGTGTGATTCAACACAAATCAACTTAACATAAAAATTTTATACAAGATAAATCCAAATTGAACTAAATTGTGGAAGTGTTAGAATACATAGACAACTTCTTATAATTGAACTAAATCATGTTTATAGAAAATTATGGCTATAATAATTCTTCCTTCCATCGCTGATACTACTGTCACACTGCCTCTTTTGATGAACTCACTGAAACGGCACCAAAAATATTATTAACATATATCTATTTCTAAGAGATGAAACACTTTATGCAATACATAAAAGATACTAAATTTTATTCATTTCTGATCCTTACCTGAATCTTCGATCTCCATTGTTTCTCCTGCCAAAGTATCTGTTTTGATTTGGTTCCTTTGATCACACTCCAGGCTCTCACTAGAGGAGTCTTGTAGAGGAGAATCAGGAGGATAATTAGTTATTTTCTCCTCGACATTTTCATTTCTCGACTCAATTTGTATTTTTTGGCCAAAAAGCACCAATACTTTTGGCTTCGCATGAACCATTGTTTGGCCAAAAAACACCAACTCTTTCGGCTTCGCATGATCCAGTTTCTCTAATATCGAGCCTGAAACATTCTCACTGCTGCTCTCCTTTTGTAATATCGGGCTATTAGAGACAGAAGTGGATGTTGAATCTTCGATCTCCATTGTTTCTCCTGCCAAAGTATCTGTTTTGATTTGGTTCCTTAGATCACACTCCAGCCTCTCACTAGAGGAGTCTTGTAGAGGAGAATCAGAAAGATAATTAGTTATTTTCTCCTCGGCATTTTCATTTCTCGACTCAATTTGTATTTTTTGGCCAAGAAGCACCAATACTTTTGGCTTCGCATGAACCATTGTTTGGCCAAAAAGCACCAACTCTTTCGGATTCGCATGATCCAGTTTCTCTAATATCGAGCCCGAAACATTCTCACTGCTGCTCTCCTTTTGTAATATCGGGCTATTAGAGACCGTAGTTGATGTTGAGGCATCGTGATTAAATGATGGTTGGAAATGAGACATAAAGACTTCTAATGGAATTTGTTTGAGGTGAAACGATGATTTGGAGAAACTAAAATCATCACGCCTGGCTCCCTGCATGCCTGCAGTACTAGTAACTGGAACATTCGAAAAAGTTGGCATTGATAATTGGCCATCCATGGAGAAACTTGGGTGTTGCATCGATCTCAGTTTCTTACTTGATGGCAAAAAAGGGGGAAAAGGGAACGAAGGCATGTCCGATACTAATTCGATTTCCCACGGATTCACCATCTTGGTATTTGTAAGTAAATCAGGTTCGTCCCATGTAACCTAAAAGATTAATCAAACAAATTTGAAAATGTAATTAGTTATATTTGCTTTTAAGTCTGAGTTCAAAAGAAGTATGTAATAAACAAGTCTATACCTGCAGAAGTCTCCAAAGAGAGTCAGGCCATGCTGGATCAGCAGCTTGAACAGAAGAAATTGTTCCCATAAACGAATGTGTCTTTGACGAGTCTTCAGTTTCCACGGCCATCTTGAACCTCATTCCACAACACCACCTCATCTGACGTGCTGTTCTAATTAAAGAGGTTTTCACAAAAAACTCGGGAGTACCAACTCTAGGATAGTAGACCACATCAAACGGTTGCATATTGACACCAAGTCTTACGGCTTCAATAACATGTTCAGCCTTCACTTTACCAATTCCCATCACCTTATCACTTATTCTCAACTCTCCGAAAGACGAAGTAAGATGTCTATCGTATGATGGTCTAAGAAAAATTCCAGTTTCATTACCAAGTTTCCTCTTTGATGAAAAGTTAAATCCACCATCGTTTCGTTTTTTAGACCTTCGTATTCCAACATGGAGATCACTGTGTTCATCTCTGACAAACACAAGTGAATCCCCCGAAACAAGTAGCTTATCGGTCACAAAATCACTCCACCCAGTTGTTAACAGATGCCTCTTCGGCATGCCTCTGTAAGCATGTCTGAATCTCCATGTTTCTCCATGCACATCCATGGGATAAATATCTTGAGAAGGAAGCATACCTGAATAGTCTAATGGAGGAAAAAGCGATTCGGCACAATACTTAGGACAAGAGAATGCACCACCATTGTTTGCATCAGATTGTGTCAAGGTTTTCGTGTAAGACCGATATCTATTATTAGTTTCAGACATGTTATCAGCTGCGTCGTCATCATCAAAATTAGCCTCACTAATCTGCAGAGGAACAAGGCTGAGTTTTGCATACACTTCATCTGTGTCAGGATCAGCCCTGTAACGGATAGCTGCGACTCTACACGGAATTTGTGATGGAATTATGAAGTCGGCAGGAAAAGTGACAGGTTGATAGGCATGCTCGGCATGACCTTGAGGGAAGTAGAAGATCTTAGAGTTAACTTGTGGAATTTTCACCATTCCTCCAGCAACAGCATGCCATAGCTGAGGATCCACATCTTTGTTCCCATCAATCAACTTCTTCTTTGACTCCTTATCCTTCTTCTTATCAGAAGGAGTGCCATTGCAACCATTTGTTCCAGCTTTGAAAGACTTCGGCATTTTAGAATTGAATTCTGCATGAAAAGATGAAAGAAAGTGTTAGTGTAGAATTTCTTGCGTAATAACTTTATTTTATTTCCAACTTTAATAAGAAAAAAATTATAACCTGTTGAATTTTGGTTTGACAACTAAAAATTGTAAAGAAAAATAAAAAATAGTGAAAATAAAAATATGTGTTGAAGAAGAAATAGGATTGAGTGTTTTCTGTGCTTAATAAAAAGTAAGGGTTTAGTGTTTACATTATATATACAAAAACAATTAACAGAGTTAGAGGATAATGTTGCAAAAATATCTCGAACCAAGTTCAAAAGACCTGTTGCAAGAATATCTCCTAATAATAATTGAAACACCCGCTATTCATCTAGAAACATGTTTTATAACAGACAATCCCTAATTATAGGAATGTCTAACAAAAAAATTGTAAATATTAAAAAAAAATTGTTGAACACAAGTCAGTTAAATTTGTATAAAATAATTATTAATATCACCAAAAAGTAAGAGCACAATCTATATCATAAAAGAAAACTTGACAGAGAAAGTAAAAAAAGTTGCACCTGGTACTAAATGTACTAAATCATTGAAAAAGAGTAACACAAGACAAATAAATATCTTCAAACATATCTTTCCTAATAACTTTATTTTATTTCCAATTTTAACAAGACAAAAATAGTAACCAGCCATGATTATATTTTGTTTGGTTTGACAACTAAAACTTATAAAAAAAGATGAAAAATAGTGAAAATAGGAACCTGTTGAAAAATTGAATGATGAAGAAATAGGGTTGAGTGTAAATGAAAGTATTATGTGTGTAGAATAAAAAGAAAACAAGTAAGTGCATAAACTTTAATGTTGCAAGAATATTTCCTCAAAATTAGTCGAATAGACCAACCTATTCACACGCAAAAACATTTTTTAAATGTTGAAAAAGAAAATAGCTAGATTTAGTGTTTACGTTAAAATAGAGACGATGTATATAAAACATAATAGAAAATATTGTTGTTGTTGTCCCTCAATCCCTAATTATAAGATTGTCTAACAAAACAATTGTAAATATTAGGAAAAGCTGGTTTATATGGCTTAAATTTGTCAAAAATATTTACTAGTAGTTTTACATATTTACCTATATAAAATAATTAATATCATAAAGGAAAAAAATACATTTTTTATTAAAAAAATTGTAAAATCAATAATAAATAAAATAATATTTCTAGTACTCGGAAGTAATTGGAGGTGTCATATGATATTCTATAGATATTTGTATTGTAGGTTAGAATATCTCTAATACTTGGAAGTATTAAATATAACTTTTAGCTTATAAAAAAAACAAGTAGCAGCAATTCAAATTGAGAATATTTACCATAGCATTAACCTTTCTGCTTTGAGTTTCGATAATTTTAATAATTAGTCATGATTAAGTAGTTGTTTGTGTATTGATTTACAAATTATAATAGTAACAATATAGAAAGTAATTGAAAGTTTAAAAAATAGTGAATATAAGAACCTGGTGTGTGAGAATATTGTAGAAGAGGATTCTTTAACTGCAAAAGAACAAGACAAAAAGAATAGTTAGAAAAAAATAAAACAAACGATATATATAAAGAAAATCATTTAACCCTTTCCTCTTAGAAAGTTAATATGACAAAAAAAAATAAAACAAAACAGAATTTGTTATAGAGTGAGAAACTCACTTGCTTATGAAACTTATCCGTTGGATGAATCAATTTGTTTTTCAAATCTTTTAGATTAAGCCATTTGTCACCTTTTTGAATTTTTGAACAAGGTCAAACCTCCACACACGCTGCATTTTGTTTTGTTTTTTTTTTAACTTTTTCACTTTCTAAAATTTTAGTTTGTTTCAAATGTATCCAATTATTATTATTATTATTATTATTATTATTATTATTATTATTATTATTATTATTATTATTATTATTATTATTATTATTATTATTATTATTATTATTATTATTATTATTATTATTATTATTATTATTATTATTATTATTATTATTATTATTATTATTATTATTATTATTATTATTATTATTATTATTATTATTATTATTATTATTATTATTATTATTATTATTATTATTATTATTATTATTATTATTATTATTATTATTATTATTATTATTATTATTATTATTATTATTATTATTATTATTATTATTATTATTATTATTATTATTATTATTATTATTATTATTATTATTATTATTATTATTATTATTATTATTATTATTATTATTATTATTATTATTATTATTATTATTATTATTATTATTATTATTATTATTATTATTATTATTATTATTATTATTATTATTATTATTATTATTATTATTATTATTATTATTATTATTATTATTATTATTATTATTATTATTATTATTATTATTATTATTATTATTATTATTATTATTATTATTATTATTATTATTATTATTATTATTATTATTATTATTATTATTATTATTATTATTTTAAACACAACAATATGTTTAATTAAAATATTTTATATAATATTGATAATTTTTTTAAGTTTATTCTAAAGATTTAAAAATAATTGATTTTTGTTTACAAAAAATATAAAGATTGAAATTGGTAGTGTTATATTTTTAAAATAACAGTTTGTTTAATTTTAGATATTTTTAAAAATTAACAATTTTATTTATTTTAAAGTGTTAAAATCAAATCATTTTATAATAAAAATATTTAAAATTTGATTTATTTGTTAACCATCTAGCTATTGTTGTCTTGTCCTTTCATTCCTCAAAAATAAATTTAATTTGATAGAAAATTATTTACTTATTTTAATATGAATTTTTACATTTTTTAATATAAAATCATTTTTTAACTCTTTGGAATAAATTAAAAAACTATGATCATTTTTACAAATATTTTGATCAAACATATTTTCTCAATAAATAATAATAATAATAATAATAATAATAATAATAATAATAATAATAATAATAATAATAATAATAGTGTTTACTCAGTATCGACGGTAGGGATGTGCATAGATAACTATTTAATATAAATCAATCCATTTTTATGGTTATGGTTTATAAATCAATCTATTTTTATGGTTATGGTTTATAAACCAAACCATTTGTTCTGAACCGGTTTAAAGCCGGTTCTAAATGAATTTCGATTTTAATCTAAATTATTTAGTTAAATTTAAATTTATTTTTTTTTTAAATTATATCAATTTTTGAAATTAAATACTTAGGTTTTAATATATTTTTCTTTTAAAATAAAAACAGAATTTTATAAAAAATTAAAAAATAAAAAATAAAAAATTCTTAAATAAAAAATTTCAGCAAATTATATGGACTTAAAATGGTGACTAATTTGTGAAAATACATATATTTGTATCTTTCAAAACCTCTATCTATTGGTGGGAAAATCTAAAATATTTATCATCATTTTTTCATAAAGCTTTACTAATCTTCGAGATTTATAAATAAAAATTAGAGTCAAATCCAATAAATCAAGTTTTGGTATATTTTATTCCATATGTCAAATCAAGCTCGATTCATTAAGATTTATATAATTAATTACTGAAAGTTCATATAATTAATTGCTAAAAATTCATATAATTTGTGAAGTATTAGTACACCATTTTAGGTAGTTAGAGAATTCGCAAACATTTTTTTTTTAATTTTGAAATACAAAATTCTAATTTTTTGTTAAAATAATATTTTTTATGAAATTAAAAAAAAATAACATTAAAATAGTTCAAAATATAAAATTGATTTATAACGTGTATATGATAAAACATGAAAAGAGACAAAAACATATCAATTTAACAAATAATAAAATTTGGATACCCAATAACTAAACCATATTATTATTATGAAAATCGGTTTATATTTGGATAATAAAATGGATAATCAGATTTATATTTTAGCATTTTGTTTGGATTTTTAAAGTGGAACAATTTGGATACAAATTTGGTTAACAATAACCGATTTTTTTGCACATCCCTAATCGACGGGTATGGTGCAAAATTCTTCAAGAGCAGTTGGCAAATAGTCAAGAGTGATGTGATTGTTGCAGTTATGGATTTCTTTGTTAAAGAAAGACTGTTCAAAGCCTTTAATACTATAGTTGTCACTCTTATCCTGAAAATTGATCAGGTTGTATCTATAAAGGATTTCTGACTGATTGTTGGCTGCACCACTTTGTATAAAATTATATCCAAGATTCTTACCTCTAGACTTGGAAAAGTATTGAAGATTATCCTTAGTCTGTGCTAGGTCGCCTTTATTCCCGGGCAACAGATACACAACCACATTATGCTGACGAATGAGCTCATTAAAGCCTATTCTAGATAAGGAGGGAGCCTGAGAACTATGATCCAATTAGACTTGCAAAAAGCCTACGATATGGTGGATTGGAACGCACTGAAGTGTATCATGATGGAGATAGGTATTCCAGCCCAATTTATCTGTTGGATTATGCTAACTGTTAGTTATGTTTCCTACAGATTTAATGTTAATGGGGCTTTAACCAAAGTGATGGAAGCTAGGAGGGGGACTAGACAAGCAGGCACATTGTGAATTTTTTTTCATCCTACCATTCTATTGGAAAAAAATACACTATATTGCCATAAATCTCAAATGATATACCATATTGTCATAGTTTTAAAAAAAATCAAATTTTTGGTACAAAGGAGCCACCCTTCAATGGGCGGAAAAGTGAATTTTTATTATTGCCGCCCTTTCAATGGGCGGTAGTGTCCACGAATTTTTGTTTTATTCTTTTTATTTAATTTATTTGTTTCTTTAAGTTTTAATATATTATTTTTTTAAATAATAATTATGATTAATATATTTAAAAAATTAAATTAAATTATTATAAATAATAATTATGAATAATATATTTAAAAAATAAATTAAATTGTAATAAATAATAATTTTGAATAATAATAATATTAATAATTAATAGTAATAAATAATAAATATAAAATAATGAATAATAATTATGAA